ATAGTGAGTGTAGGCCATGGTGGGGCTGTCCCATAGTGAGTGTAGGCCATGGTGGGGCTGTCCTATAGTGAGTGTAGGCCATGGTGGGGCTGTCTCCATAGTGAGTGTAGGACACGGTGGGGCTGTCCTATAGTGAGTGTAGGCCATGGTGGGGCTGTCCCATAGTGAATGTAGGACATGGTGGGGCTATCCCATAGTGACTGTAGGCCATGGTGGGGCTGTCTTATAGTGAGTGTAGGCCATGGTGGGGCTGTCCCATAGTGAGTGTAGGACACGGTGGGGCTGTCCCATAGTGACTGTAGGCCATGGTGGGGCTGTCCTATAGTGAGTGTAGGCCATGGTGGGGCTGTCCCATAGTGAGTGTGGGGCTGTCCCATAGTGAGTGTAGGACACGGTGTAGCTGTCCCATAGTGAGTGTAGGACACGGTGCGGCTGTCCCATAGTGAGTGTAGGACACGGTGCGGCTGTCCCATAGTGAGTGTAGGACACGGTGCGGCTGTCCCCATAGTGACCGTAGGACACGGTGCGGCTGTCCCATAGTGACCATAGGACACGGGTAGCTGTCCCATAGTGACCGTAGGACACGGTGTAGCTGTCCCATAGTGACCATAGGACACGGTGTAGCTGTCCCCGTAGTGACCGTAGGACACGGTGCAGCTGTCCCCATAGTGACCGTAGGACACGGTGCAGCTGTCCCCTTAGTGACCGTAAGACACGGTGCAGCTGTCCCCATAGTGACCGTAGGACACGGTGTAGCTGTCCCATAGTGACCGTAGGACACGGTGCAGCTGTCCCCGTAGTGACCGTAGGACACGGTGCAGCTGTCCCCGTAGTGACCGTAGGACACGGTGCAGCTGTCCCCATAGTGACCGTAGGACACGGTGCAGCTGTCTCCGTAGTGACCGTAGGACACGGTGTAGCTGTCCCGTAGTGACCATAGGACACGGTGTAGCTGTCCCATAGTGACCATAGGACACGGTGTAGCTGTCCCTTCAGGTTACATTCTCTGTAGAAGCCGACTGTCTGATTTTTGTCCTTCGAAGGAAATGGTGTGTTCAAGCCACTGACCTCTCCTTTGGTAGCAGAGCGCTTTACCACGTGTCACCTGGGCCCCTTGAATAAATGTCTCACAAAGAAGTGGGTGACACATTTTGGATGGGCGTGGCTAGGGAAGAAGCGGCGTTGGATGGTCTCTTGATAGCTCCTTACACCCTGAAGGCAGGACCCTTTTGCCACACCTGTAGATGCCCAGGTTGTGCCCACATCACTCATCCTCTGGTCTCTGGAGGATCAGGAAGACTTGTCAGTGCGTCACCCCCAAAACCAGCTTCACAGAAAAGCAGAAACCTCTTTGTGAGGCAGCTGAATCCCAAGGCAGAAGGCTAGGGCTCTGTCCCCAGGAGGACATCTATAGCCTGAGGGGTCTGTTGGGGGTGCTCTATCCCTAGCGGAGGGCGCTGTCCCAAGATGCAGCTGTATCCCTGCAAGTGGGTGCTCTGTTTCGAGGGGCATCTGTATCCAGGGAGGGGCTCTGTTCCTGGGGAGCGGCATCTGTATCCCCAAGTAGGGGGGTTAAACAGTGCACAGAAGCTTGGTGAAAGAAAGGTCAGAGGTTCAGGTCCATCCAGAGGCACCTCGGAAGAAAGTCCTGGAGATATGCCCTGTGGAGTGTAGCTCTGCTCTGACACTCATGGGTCACACGAATCCGGGTCCATTCACAGCTGGTTTGGGGCTTTTGGTTTCATCCCGTCAGAACTGTGGCCAGTTACCTCTGGTGTCTTTGTACCAGGAAAATGAAGACAAGGCTGGACCCAGCAGGCCGCTGTCCCCCAAGCAGAATGTGAGGAAGAGTCTGGACTTTGAACCTCTTTCCACCACTGCCCTCATCCTGGAAGACCGCCCTGCGTAAGTCTCTCTGGGGAGCCGTGAGCTGAGTGGATTAGGACAGGGTCCTTGTCACCTTGTCGTGGAAAGGCTGCGCAGACCCCTCAGCTCCGGGTGTGCTGTAATTGAGTGCTGATGGCTCTTTAGTGACCAACCTCAGGTGTGGCCAAGCTTGCCTGTTCCCATAGCTCCTCTTCATGCAGCCTGTGAGCAGCAGTTAGAAACTGAGGGTGGGCCTCGGCTTCTAGACTGAATCCCCCACTGGTGGTCAGGGCTGTCCTGTCACCGCAACTCACAGCTGGTGATTTCTAAGGGTCCTGGGTCCAGGTTCCCTTCCTTCACAAAGGGGAGCAGGGGTGGGCTTGCAACTGTTCACTGGGGGAGCCTGAAAATTGCTGCGCTGGCTAATGTCCACATCCCTGGGATCTGAGATGGGTGCGTATCAGAGAAGACATGTACCTTAAATCTTGGGTGAAAATCATGGGTAGGTGAGAGAAACGCCCAAATTAGAGCGTAAAAAGCTGGAGGTGATTGGTGAGAGCCACCCCTGTAGCGGCCGGTCCTGTGGGACTCTCTGGATCCTTCCAGGTGTGCTGGGGAGGCCCGCCGACCCCCTGGGCTCCAGCACCCATCTGCGTTCGCGATATTACTGAAGCTTCTACCACTGTTGAGCAAAGTAGAGTGGGATGCGTTTTTCTGGACAATCAGGTGAACCACGCACATAGGTCGTAGCCCCGGGGCTGGACAGGCGAGTCAGGGGCAGGACCAGGAAAGCGGCCAGGGTAAAACCCACTGGAATTTCGCATTGGTTCATCGATTGCTGGTTTTTCCCTCTAACCTGTTTGCTGTGAATTTCCTACAGTGAACTTGTCTTACTTCTTTTTTTATCGAAGAGGTCCATGTCAGCTTGAGAAATATAGTTTGTATAGTTTTTCCGCTTTGTGTTTTTTTTGAAACTTCAGGTTTTTCTTCTCAGATACTTTTATTCAATATTTGTGATGGTGAAAACTCTTTTGTTTTCTATCAAGAAATCTCCCGGCAAAACCAGCTGAAGAGGCTCAGAAACACCGGCAGCAATACGAAGAAATGGTGGTTCAGGCCAAGAAACGAGGTAACGGTCCCAGTGTGCTGCGTACGCCTGGGAAGGGTCAGTGCGTCCGTGTCCCTCTGGAGCTGGCAGTTTGGTGACAAATGCCCTAAGGTTTATAACTTGAATTTCCCATCAGATTGTATGTTTCTGCTCTTCCTTCTTGGGGGTGTTACCCAAGGACAGGCAGGTTCTGCCAGCCCCCCATTTCTCTCAGCAGCCTTATTTCCTTACAAAGAGATGGCAGTGGGTCCAGCCTCTGGCAGCACCTGAAGGCCCCGTGGTTCTGGGGTGTTTGAAGTGTGTGTGAACTGAAGCATAGTATTCACCACACGTGAAGTGTACTTGTAGCTAGCGCTGGATACTCCTGTGTTCAGACCTGGATGGGAGCGAGCAGCCGTGTCTGTAAGGGACCTTAGTGGGACACTGGATGACACTGGGTTAGACTATAAAGTCCCGTATCCATAGTAATGTCCTCATTGTGTCGCTGCACTGAGGCCGTTTACGATGACCCTGGTTCTGGGGGAAACACACACTGAAGTATTTAGAGGTGAGTGGGTGTGCTGGGCTTGCTGCTCACTCAGAAGTGGTTCTGGGGGAGAAAGGGAGAGAGAGGGGAACGGGAGAAAGGGAGAGAGAGGGGAACGGGAGAAAGGGAGAGAGAGGGGAACGGGAGAAAGGGAGAGAGAGGGGAACGGGGAACAGAGAAAGAGAAGATGAGGGCGGAGAGTGAGGGGAGGAGGTGGGGAGAGCTAGGGAGAGTCACAATGCAGGCCGCTCTGTTCCATCTTGTCATTTTCTGTAGGTTTTCACTGGTTCTGAATAGAAAGACAGGAACAGTGGACAGGAAGGCAGTCCTTAGCTGGTGGCCTCTTTGGAGGGCAGTGGCCGGATGCTGTGGTGGGGTGGTCAGGAAGTGGCTTGGCCACTTGGTTACGGGATTCTGTGGGCGGGTGGATGGGACCGAGTGGGAGGACTTGACCACTGGACACCATGCCTTCCCCTGGCCTGTGGGCAGCGCGACTCAGTGGCCGCCGTCCTCACATTTCCTCCTTGGCGTCTAGAGCTGCGGGAGGCACAGCGGCGCAGGAAGCAGCTGGAGGAGCGATGCCGGCTGGAGGAGAGCATCGGGAACGCAGTCCTCACCTGGAACAACGAGATCCTGCCCAACTGGGAGACCATGTGAGCGCACGTGCCGGCTGGTGTGTGCCGCCCACAGTGGTGGAGCTGCACTGAACCCCTCCTGCTTCTGCTCTGTCCTCCTCCCCTCCAACTCTCCCCCAGGAGCCCTTTCTAAACCCGAGTCCAGTCCTGTCCACTGAGCATGCTAACTGCCCAGGTGTCCCCTCGGATACTTCATGTAGCTGCAAGGTGTGAACCTGCTGGTCTCTCAGGGCCTGGGGCTGGGCCCATGACTCAAGAAACAGACCACAGTTCTCCTGTCCTGGCCAGGTGGAGTGCGAGGAAGGTCCGGGACCTGTGGTGGCAGGGCGTCCCACCGAGTGTGCGTGGCCGGGTCTGGAGCTTGGCCATCGGCAACGAGCTCAACATCACCCACGGTGAGCGGCCGCCGCGGAGAAACTCCATCATTGGGGGAGAGGTGGCCAGCTGGTCCTCAGTGCTTCTGGCTAGTGGAGGGTGCAGAGGCCCCTACTCCGGTGGCTCACGTCTTCCCAGGTGGCTGTAAGAACAAGAATCAGTGGGCTCCAGTCTTCTGGGTCAGCTGACCAAGAGCCACCCTGCCTCTGAGGAGTGGGGATGGGCCGTGGCAGAGGAGGTGTGTCCATGTGGGGAGAGTTATGTCTGGTTCCTGTCCATTTTGTGTGGGATTTCACATCCTGTGCTCGGATGGGACCATCCAGGACTTGGGGGTTTCTCTGTTGTCATAGTGAAATGCCGTCAAGTTGGTTCCCACTGATAGCAACCCGATAGAGTTCCCCCAGACTTTGCAGTTGGCAGTCCAGGGCTTTTCCTACAGCGCTAAACCAGGACTCGGGGTTCCTCTGGGATGAGGTGTTCCCGGGCAGGGGTGTCCTCTAGGGAGCGGTGCTTGGGTCCCAGCTAGGTGAAGCTAGAAGGATGAAGCATGTACTTGCCTTCTTGCAGACTCTCGTGTGTGTGCGTGCGTGTGTGTCTGTGTATGCATGGGTGCATGTGCACATGCACGAGTGTGTACGTGTGTCTTCTCCAGCCTGTAAGTCCCCACACGTGCTGTGTTGGTCCAGTGACGCGCTTCCAGCTCGGCCCTGCTGGTCTGTTACACTAGGCCGCCTGAGGTTTAGTGCTGGGAGAGCGCAGAGAACAGTGGTGCTGGCGGCCCCCGGCCCCTCTCCTGTTTGACACCGGTTGCATCGGCTCCCATCTCTTGCTGAGGTTTTCTCTCTTCGGCTGGCTTCCCCCCAACTGTTAACTGGTGGTGACCAGGGCTTGAGGGGGACAGAACCTTCCTCAGAGCCACGTTTTCGATTACGACCATACCTGCCAAAGCTTTGTTGTCTCCTCTGTGTGTGAGCAGAGTTGTGTAACACCTCACTGGTGGAGTAGTTTGCAAAGGTCCCCAGAGCCGAGGTTTGGAGAAATTGCTGGATGTGTATTTCAGCGTGTGTTCTCAGGGTTTCTGAGCTCCAGCAGCTGCTTAAGCAAACTGGATGTGTGTGTAACCTGGCTCTCGCCATGCCTGGGTTTGTAGATTTAAATGAAAACCAACAGAACCTCCTAGGGACCATGTCTGAGGTTCCCAGTAACAGAACCACCGCTGGGGCGGGACTTCACCAAGCACATTCGTTCCCCCCAGTCTAGGAGGCTGGTCTTCGGAGTTCCCGGGAGGCCTAGCTCTCTCTGTGGGCTCTGCGGGGAAGGCCATGGCTCCTGTCAGCATCTGTGGGCCCAGTTACCCTTGGCGATCTCCCTGCGTCTTGGCATCAGGGACCCTGAGTCCAAGGGACATGCTCTGCTCATGCCCTTCGTCTTCGGTGGCATGAAGGGTCCCCCTGCCTCTCTCTCTCTCCGTTTATCTCTCACAAGATCAAAGGGGATGCAGGCCCTGGACCCGGGCTCAGCCTTCAGCCCAGCCATATCGAGGGAGGTGTAGCAGAGGACGTTAGTGCAGTGACCTGTGTTACGTGGAGGGGACTGCGGTCATTGATAAAATAGTGTCCACGTTCACTCGATTCACAGTGAAAGTTGAAGAAACTTCTTCTGCGGGAGTGCCAGGCAGGAGACGTGTCAGCTGTTCTAGCTTGCCCTCTGCCCCCATCCTCACTCGACTCGGTGCTCTAGGATGAGCACTGGACCGCAAGGTCAGCTTGAATTGTAAGGTCGACAGTTCAAACTCACCAGCCGCTCCTCTGAAACCCAATACGGGGTCACTGTGGGTTGGACCTGACTCGACGGAATTTGACAAGAACTACTCTGGGATTACCAGCAGCTGTCCTCCAGCCCCCAGATGCTTCCTCAGGGATGTGATGGGGTCTCCAGAGGCCTGCACCCACCCCGATCTCTCCTGTCAGACTCGTCAGAGTCCTACCCATGGCCCTCACAGTGTGCCCCATAAACTGGGGTGAGCTTGTAATCGCTGGGGGATGGAGGAGCTGCTCTTATCTTCGCTGTCCTCCTCATGGTGACAGGAAGGTCACCAAGCAGAGTTTACGGCTGCACCACAGAAATGTTCTGAGAAGTGCCGGGCTTCTGTGGTGGGAAGCTGAAGGGACAGCAGCCCACGTCTCCATGACCAGTGGTGCTCAGGGCTCCAGGACAGCCGCCCACAGGAAACATCACCATCAAAAGGACAGGATACCTCTGTGGTGGGGTGGGGACACCAGATGGGGAGTGGAGACGGGTAAGAGGGTGGATGGAGTAGGGTGAGCGGGTGAGGGGTGAACAGGGGAGGAGGCGTGGGGTGGGTGGAGAGTTGATGGTGTAGGGTGGACAGTGAAGAAGTCACTCTATCAAGCACAGGACCTGGCCCCCGGCTCCCCAGGTCTGTGAGAGTGAGAAGATGCAGATGCGTTCTGGTTTCACTGTGGCAAAGTCCCCAAACACAGCTCTTGGAAAACAAGCTCCGGGTTAGGGACTGACTGTCCAGCCCTGTCCCCTCTGAGAGCCGTGCCTGTAGCTGGCCGTCTGCTGGTGCCCCATGTGTGTCCCGCCCCCATCTGTCCGAGGCTCCCTGGGTATGGTTTGCTGTGGGCACAGGGGTGTGTGAGAGACCTCACAGTTGTGTCCCTTCTGTGTACCTGGTGGTGTCTTCACATCACAGCAGTGTTTCCGCTGTCCCCCCACACTACCTCACAGGTCCTGGCATTTCCCCATCCCCACTGTAGCCTAACAGTGGCCTCTCTTGCAGAACTCTTCGACATCTGCCTGGCCCGAGCCAAGGAGCGGTGGCGGTCCTTGAGCACCGGAGGCCCAGAGGGTGAGAGCGAAGGTACGTGCGGTTTGTGTTCTTGTTGAGTTGTGAGGGGCTTTTACAGCACCCCTATCCCCCCAGTCCCCCCGGACGGAGGCTTCTCCCTGGGTCCCCTCCTCCAGGACCTCGGGACTCTGGTGCTGGGGTGGGGGCCAGGGACAGCTGTTCCTAGAAAGACCACACGCAGTGCTGGGACCCCTGGTAGCAGCTGCTCTCTGCTGACCACCAGAACACTCTACGCTGTGCTGGCGCGCAGGCCTACACGAAGGAAGCCCCGTCAGACAGCCCCCCATGGATCAAGGCTTTCTCCTGGTGGTTTCCAGGCCTCAATCCGCTTGTGGACGTTGGCCTGCATGTCCTCACATTCCCTGGCTGTGGTTGGGTGGTGGTCAGATGATTTCAGACCTGGAGAAAACACTTAAGTGTCCTTGGTCTGGTGGGGTCCACTGTTGGTCTCGGGCTATCACGGTGACTCCACTGCCCCCACAGATGCCGGCTTTCCGGCTGCCGACCGAGAAGCCAGCCTGGAGCTCATCAAGCTGGACATTTCCAGAACGTTCCCCAGCCTCTGTATCTTCCAACAGGTATGGCTGCCACCTGCGGCTCATGTATGTTCTGTCAGATGGCTGCGTGTGTACCGGGGGCTTCACGGGAAAACGGAATGAAAAGATACAGAATTTTCCCACAAAATATTTGAAGCCCCTCTTATGTGCAATCAAGGCTGAAAAGGGCTTGGGCTTTTTAGGATGGGTGGGGGTGGGCTTTTGTGGGCGTAGTTAGACTTTGTAAAGTATGACCGATGGGATGGACCCTTCCTGGGAAACTCTCCCCATGGCTGTGTTCCCTCACCTGGGGCCTCAGTCTTCCTGGGGTTCCTCAGGACTGTAGGTGGTGAGTCACTGGGCTCCCTTGATGTAGGTCATCTGTCCCTCTGGTCCTCTGGGTGGGTCCCCCTCAGCCGGCCATTCTCAAAGCTCTGGAGTTCCTCAGTGGGAAAGGGGAGGGCATGAAGTTTCCAGGGCATCTGGCCCTCAAGAAGGAAGTGGGTCTGTCACGGTGGTGGACGGGAAGCCTGAAGTCCCCAGCATGAGGGTTCACAGTGCTGTATCCCTTCTCCGGTTGCCTGGATGCTTGGGGTGCCGAGCTCCACTTTCCTGCTCACCCCATGCGTCTTCCCCACCTGTCTAGCTGACCTGTGGGACTCTGGTCTTCTCCTAACGTAGTTGGTGCTCTCATGTGGGACTAGACCAGTGTGTGGGGACGTGAGGAGCTGCGGGCTGCGGTCACTTTGGAGCTGCACACCGCTGCTGTCCCTGGTGTTCATGGACACGGGGTTGACGTGGACAGCGGCACTGGGCCTGTTTGAGGCCAGGCCCCTTTGCTGAGGTTTCTCAGGGCCAGGCGGGGCTCTGGGGGAGCTGGGTACCTGAGTAAAGAGCATGTTTTCTAACCTGATATGTTGTGAGTCCCATCGAGTCAGTTCCGACTCAGTGACCCTCCGGTGAGCACAGGACTCCGTTGTTGTTGTACCATTGAGGCTTTCTGACTCACAGTGGCCCTGCATAGATTTCTGAGGGGCCACTGGTGACTTCCCAGTGAGCAGTCCAGGACTGAACCCACCATGGTACACCAGGCCCCCCAGCCTGATATAAGAATGCCCAAAAGAAACTTGGGCAAGCGGGGGAGAGTTGTGGAAGATATGGGGGTCAGCAGGGGACAGTGGAGACATGACCCGGCACCTGGGGAGCACAGCCCACACAGTGTCCCTCCCAGCTTTCTCCCAGCAGCTCCGTAGACGGCAGCTCGGCCGTTCGTTCACTGAGTCACCGGAGGTGCGGGCACGGCGGGCGGGGCAGTCAGTGGTCCTCGTGGAGCTCTTGTGGCAGCCCGCACTGCAGCACTCACGCATGTTGTTTTTCTGTGTCACCCTTGCAGGGTGGCCCTTACCATGACATGCTGCACAGTATTTTGGGCGCTTACACCTGTTACCGGCCAGATGTGGGCTATGTAAGTTTCCCAGTCTTTCATAGGGTTTCCGTCTAACAAAGTCAGAATGTTGTCCAGCACGTGTGAGCTGCGTTTGTCATGGTGTCCACCATCTTTCCCTCGTGCCAAGTATCTGTGGTCCAGTGGCGTGCGCCAGCCCCACTTCCTTCTGGAAACAGCTGACCGGCCACATTGCGCTGGGCCAGGGTTTCGCTTGCTACGTGTACACATTTGTAAAACGATAAACCCAAGCAGCTTTAGCACTAACAGCTTTTACTCTGTGCTGCTCCTGTTTCTTGGATGAGCCGATGTGTGCACACGTGTGTGTGTGGCGTACATGTGATTGGGTGTGTGCGCATATGTGTCTGCATGTATGAGGAAACTTTTAAATGTTTATGGAAAAATTCCATTATCTTTCGATTCCATTTTCCCTTCAACTTTTTTAAGCCCCCTTGTTACGTGTGTGTGCCAGCATGTGGGCATGTATGTGGTATGTGGTGTGTGCATGCTTGTGGGCGTGTGCTCTCAGATGTAACACCCGGAGCTGGATGCTCACGTCTAGCACCCCCAGAAGCTGTACGCAGTGGTGGGTGGCCGGTCGGTGGGGGCTGCTGAGTAGAGTGACCTGGGACCCTGGGCACTAGCACTGTGGACGTGACCCCTGGCCTCTTCCCCCAGGTGCAGGGCATGTCCTTCATCGCGGCAGTGTTGGTCTTGAACTTAGACACTGCCGATGCCTTCATCGCCTTCTCCAACCTTCTGAATAAGCCCTGTCAGATGGCTTTCTTCCGCGTGGACCACGGCCTTGTGAGTACCGTGTGTGAGTGTATCCTGGGGCTGAGAGTTAACCATGGTCACAGCACAGTCAGCCCCTGCAGTGCTCCCCCCTCCTGCTCTGCGGCTCTGTGCGCCTCAGGAAGGGGCAGGGTGGACACTGCTTCCGGGGTCATTCCTGGGTCTCAGTTACGGTACACCCTGACGCTAAGGTGCCTGGGGGTTCAGTAATCCAGTTGTTGAGGCAACAACTAAGTCACGGGTGCGCTGTGAGAATGAGCCTGCTGCCCCTTGGACCGTGTCAGCAGTTCCAGAGGAGACGCTGCTGGATCCTCACAGTGCCAACACTGCCGATTGTGTTCCCGTCTGTGAGGAACTTACACCCACCGCTCCTTTACCAGTGTCTCCCATTGGCTCCACAGATGCTGACTTATTTTGCTGCATTTGAGGTATTCTTTGAAGAAAACTTGCCGAAATTATTTGCTCATTTCAAGAAAAACAACTTAACTCCAGACATCTACCTAATCGATTGGTGAGAGTGAATCTTTAAAATACTTTTATTGTGAATAGAGTGATCGTGTACATGGGAGAACATTGGTTTTGCCCTCAACCAATCATATTTTTTTCATTACAATGATTACAATCCTCTCCATGCATCATCATTTAACAATATTTGCTTCTATCCCTTTTTCTTTTTTTTTTGATGTACACAAAAACACTCAGGAATATGTAATCATTTAAACAACCCAAGGGCACATTTTGCAAACCAGCCCCCTGCCCTCCAGCACACAGCCTTTCTCTTTCCGTGAGTCTAGAGTCCTCAGCTGCTCCCTCTCTCCATGTCCCCATCTCTGCTTCCATCTCCGGTGTCACTGCTTATCTGGCTACAGTTCCACATTCCACACATGCTCTTGTCTCTTGGTGGTTCCAGGGTCCTCTGTACCTGGAATGCAAGATTAACTACTCCTCCCTTTATATTCTAAAACTTGTACCTTTACAGTTGTGACAATCTCAATTAGTCATGATAACAATTACTTTTTTTTTTTTTAATAACAATTACTTTTGAATCAAAAGAATCTTATCCCTTTCTCCTTTCACCAGACCCATGTAGACAAAATAAAAACTATTCAGTGAGGATTCTACCTTCCCCTGCACACTCTGAAACTAAACTCCCTCTTGAAAACTTGTAAGCCAGTCACTTCGTGCCTTTATAGCGCCCCCGTTTTAGGTAACCCGTGTCTAAGTTACCCATCCCTATTGGCCCATGTTTACAGAGGGGATAGGCTTGATCCTTGATGTGAAAACTCCTTTCCTCACAGTTAGTCTTTTGAGCTACTACATCCCGAAGTATAGGTCAGGTTCCTCAAATTGTAGCAATTTACACTTGTTTCCTTTGTCGAATTTCTTTATCTTCCTCTAGTCAAGTCTGATCATCATGCCATTAAAGCTAGGTCAAATGAACAGTATCTGTAAGTATAGGTGTTCTTGTGCATCTCCCCCCGACTTCGTATCAGCTGAATGTTTCATTCTCAGCTCTAGCCCTCTGTTTGTGGGCTCAGGAGTTCCCAAGTCTCCCCACGCTTCAGAACAACCAGCCCTTCCTCTTCTCTCAGGGTCGACGGGAGTTTATGGAATGTGGTCGAACGCTAGCCAATATCTTCATTACAGACTTTCCCCCACTTCCATTCACATGTAGAACAACACGGTCACCAGTGAGCTTACATGCGTGCTCGTGTGTTCCCTTTTGAGTTTCAGCCTTGGAGGGGGTTTGTCCTGAAGGGACTTGATTGCTTGCCTTGATGGCTCCCTGGCGACCAGCTTGCTGATTCTTGTAATAGCCAAATGGACTGCTGGTTTTGTTTTTTCCTGCTGGTCTTTCTTTCAGGACGTATCTTCTGTTACTCTAGTTGCTCCAAGCTGGTCTGCTTGCTCTTTTAAGTGGGAATGTCCCACCTTGGAAGGTTCTAGATGGGGCTCAGAGTTCCACCTAAGGGTTCTAGTACCCCTGTTAGGTATTCCAATCAGTTATAAGCTAAAGACGGGCTTACAAGCTTTGTGTAATCATGTTTGCCGACGTTCCTCTCTATCCCACTCAAGCATCTATTTTACAATGGTGGAGGTGGTGGTGCTAGTGATTATGTGCCATGGAGTCGGTTCCAACTCATAGCGACCCTGTACAGGGTTTCCAAGGCTTTAAATCTTTACGGGAACCGAAAGCCTCATCTTTCTCCATAGGTAAGGGAAACCAATATCCATAAGACAGTTAAGCATCTTAACATTATTTCCCCTCTTTTGCCCAGACTATACCTCGATCCCTGTATCTCAGAGCCCTGTTGTTCCAAGATTTAGCATGCATCACTGTTTACCTCTGTCCCATTTAGCCCATGCAAACCTACCTGAGTGTTTCCTTAGCTTCCCTGTTCTTCTACTCCCCAAGATAGAACGTTGCGTGTGTTTTCAGGGCTCAGGGAGTCCCTGGTCCTGCGTGCACCTCACTTACTCCCCACATCCTGTTCATGCATGATGCTCTGGAGGGAGCAGTGGTATCTTGGGCCGACTTGCTCTCACAGGGCCCCACTCTGCAGGCTCAAGAGTGGGGCTGAGGAGCCTCATCTGCCAGCGGGAACAGCTGGGGGGTCACGGCAGCAGCGTGCTCAGGGCTCTCTCTGAGGGAGGGGACAGAGACAACAACTTCTGCCCCACACATGAGCGGGAGGTAACTGGGCCTGGGCTTGGGCCGAGGCTGCAGCGTATATGTATCAGCAGATGAGGTCACAGACCAGGGCAACCTGTGATGTCCCAGTTAGCAGGCGAGGTCACACAAATAGGGCACAGTGTGACATCCCGGTCAGAGGTGAGGTCACACACTAGGGCAGCGTGTGACTTCCCGGTCAGAGGTGAGGTCACACACCTTGACCCCTTTCAGCACTTGTGGGCCCAGTACCCCTTGGTGGTCTCCATGTGTCTGGGCATCAGTCTTCCCCTGGATCTAGGAATAGAGAGGCTGCACTCCACTCCCAGCTCATTTTCGTGGTGGCAGTGGGTCCCCCTGTGGCTGCGTGCTTCTGTCTCCCTGCATCCTGACAAGTTAGAAGGGGCTGCAGGACACACTTCAGAGAAACACGCCTTACACTGGATCGGGTATTGCTTCCCACACCTAACAGATCACATCACGGGGACACACTACACCACTGCCCCGTGCCATCAGTAAACGGCGCCCATACCACAACCCCACCAGGCAACCCCCAGAGGACCCTTGGGCTCTCTATTTGTGGCTTCGCCCTAAGCCCTTGGCTTCCCTGACAGCTGTGGGTTCTCCCTGGGACGCGCTGCACTGAGCCCACCAGGCTGCATGTGGCTGACTGCTGACCACATAGGGAGCTTGAAGGAGCTGTCTGTCCCAGGGCTCTCAAGTAGACTCAGGGAGGCTGAATGAAATCTAAGCCTCTACTAAGCCTTTCTGGAGTCTCGGCAGTGTCCAGGCGCCCCTGACAACAGGCTCAGCCACCGCACCCTGGAGGCGAGATGGCAGCCCTTTGAGGCTGGTTGTGGGCAGCATCCTAAGGGGACTGCCACGGCATGGTTCCCTCCTGAAACCACAGAGCTGCCCCCGGCCTGCCTTGACCCTCCCAAGACTTGAGCCCCGAAGTAAAGATGCTTCCTGGGGATATGTCAGCAGGTGCTGGAGTTTGAGAAGGGTGATTCCAACCCACTGTGGTAGGGTAGGGGGCAGCCATGGCATCGGCGCGCCAGGACTGTACAGGCCTAGAACCTGTCCACTGATCTGCCAGGAAAGCAGGAACCGGAGCCGGCTGGCTGCTGCTGACAGAGGAGGGGCTGAAGCCGGGCAGGGGCAGGAACAGGGAGCTCACTGGCTGGTGATAGTGCAGGGCCACGGGTCCACTGTGGACACCCAGCTGGGCCCTGGACAGAACACATCTGGATCTTCTCCTGGTGAAGCCTGCAACACGCTGAGTGCTCAGTACCGTGTGTTAGGTGGGCTCCTCCCGTGTCCTAAGAGGCCTGCATCTGGGACCAGGGATAAGGGCTGGTCCTGGTCATCTAGACCTCAGGTCAGTCGGCTGCATCTGCTGTGCCCTTGCTGACCCCAGCTGGACAGTGTGCATGCAGCCACTGTCGTGTTACCCTGCCGTCTGACATCCACCACGGAGAAAGCACATGTGTGCTGTGCTCAGGGGCCCGTGGTGCCCGAGACACTGTAGCTGTGTGACCACCAGAATGTGCCCACTGATTTCAGAGCACTGTGGACGAGCCGTGCGCGCCGACTCCCCCCTGACTGTGGACAGAGCCGTGCGCGCCGACTCCCCCCTCTGACTGTGGACGGAACCGTGTGCGCTGACGCCCCCCTTGACTGTAGACGGAGCCGTGTGTGCTGTAGCCCCCCTCTGACTGTGGACAGAACCGTGCGCGCTGACGCCCCCCTCTGACTGTGGACGGAACCGTGTGCGCTGACGCCCCCCTCTGACTGTGGACGGAACCGTGCGCGTTGATGCCCCCCTCTGACACCCCTCTGCTTCCAGGATCTTCACCTTGTACAGCAAGTCACTGCCTCTGGACCTGGCATGTCGCGTATGGGATGTGTTCTGCCGCGACGGTGAGGAATTCCTCTTCCGCACGGCGCTGGGCGTGCTGCGGCTCTTCCAGGATGTGCTGGTCCGCATGGACTTCATCCACATGGCTCAGTTCCTCACCCGGCTGCCGGACGACCTGCCCCCCGATGAGCTCTTCGCCGCCATCGCCACCGTCCAGATGCACAGTCGGAACCGGAAGTGGGCTCAGGTGCGCGGTCCACACCCCCACGTGGGGTGGGGTCTTAAGGGACTTGGTGAGGCTGGTGTCCACCCCATTGACCTTGGCAAGTCCTGATTCTGTGTTCTGACAGGCTAGGGGTGGAGGTGAGAATACAAGCCTCGTCCCACTCAGCAGCCATTACAGGTTAGAAAGGGCGTTGTAGCCCAAGTCCTTCTTTCTTTCCACCTTTCTAATCCCCACCAGTGGCAGAAAGCAAGTCTCCAGCCTGAGGAGACCTCACTGTGATGCCTTCTATGGCCGGGGGCACCCAGGGGGTCTGCTCTTGTCCCGTGGTGTTCATGTCAGACTCATATCTGGGCTCCCTCCCGGGCCTCCTCCCTGTGAAGTCTCTGCCCTATAAAGCGTGACATGCATCCCTGACTCCTGTCTCCATGCTGGGGTCCCATGCCTCCAAACTTGTTAATGACATATGACTAAGCAGAACCATAAAACCCACACACACCCTGTCACCAGCCCAAGCTGTGTTCACTCCTGGCCCTTGAGTATGGGTGCCTGGTATAGCCCAGCACTGCCACTGAGAGCTGTCCCAGGGCCAAGATGTCATCCACCCAGCCAGTGTCACGTTCTCCTCGGTACAGAGCTCACAGATGGCTTCATGACCCACATACAGCTCCCTTCTTCCTGGTCCCTCTTGCTGTGACTGCACACAGCACCACACATGCTACATGTACCCGTACACACCCCGGCTACACACCGCACATACTGCACGTGACCACATACACCCCGACTACACACACCACACATGCTCCATGTGACCATACACACCACATGTGTTATACGTGACCACATACACTCTGGCTCCACACACCACACATGCTACACGTGACCACATGTGTTATACGTGACCACATACACTCTGACTACACACACCACATGTGCTACACGTGACCACATACACTCTGACTCCACACACCACACATGCTACACATACACACCCCAACTACACATACCACACATGCTACACGTGACTGCATACATTCCAACTATACACACTACACATGCCTGTACACACGACTACACACACTTCACATCTCCACATATACTTTATGTACCCACACACACGCCTAAGCACACCACCACACATACTATATATATCCGCGTATACCCCGTCTTAACATCCCCTACACCTAACACGTGTGCACACAGCATGATCCACACACCACACACCTGAACTGCACCTGTTCACAAAAGATGTGCAGAGTCGACCCAGATCTGCCTGTCTGCTTGTGTTTCAGGGTCAGGGGGGACCTGGTTAAAACCAGGGATTGATCAGAGTAGGGGGTGTGTTTGGTCCTGGGGCTGTGGGGAGGGTCACATGGGATGTGTGCTGGAGTTTGGGGGCTCTCATCCACTTGGTGGAAGGGTCTGCTTCATGGACCGCACTGGCTGTGGAGTTGGACAGTGTGCATTGAACCCTCTATACCTCAGCTGTGTGGGGCCCCCAGGGCGAGTCCTGGGTATCCTTAGAGGGGAAGGTGGCAGCCGACTCTTGGCGTGTCCCCGTCAAACTTGGGGCCCCATTGCCTGTGAGTGGGCCCGGTGGTGCGGTTCCCCACATGCAGGCGGGCAGAGCCGTCAGCCCTGAGCTGGGTCCACAGTTAGGAAGCTGCCGTCCGCCTGTCTGTCTGTCTGTGGTCACTGTGTGCTGCATCCTGACGTGTCCTTCCATCCACAGGTCCTCAGTGCACTGCAGAAAGACAGCCGGGAGACGGAGAAGGGCAGCCCGTCACTGCGGCACTGAGGCTGTCTGCCAGGGCCCTGCTCCCACAGTGTCCACGCGGTTCCAAGGAACACGGAGTGGACTATGCCCATGGGCGGTGGGCACTGTACCTGACGGTGGTCCCTAGCACTGGAACTGGCCTTAGAACCCTTCCCGGGATTCGCCGATGTGTGGCCTTCAGACGCTCCGGGGCCTGGGCACCGTCTTAAACGAGGGCCGAGGTTGTCTCTCCCCTTGTTCCAGCAGCGGCTCATTAAATCGTGGCACCTCTGCTGATGACTGGGCCAACACCTCAGTCTTTCTTGGCCGTGGTGCGCGGGCAGTGTTGTCCTCCAGGCCTCAGGGACGTTAGGTCACTCACAAAGATCACACTGGACAGGCGACCCCGGGGAAGTGAGTGGAGTTGCATTCCAGGCACAGCTGTGTGGGTTCTGTGCTGAGCCCCCAGCCCCCTCCCGCCTCCACCTCTCCCGTGGACCTTGTGAGGCAGCGGCCCATCCCCACCGCCCACCTCGCCGAGTTGAATGTAGCCCCCAGGCACACTTGCTCTGCCCTTCTGAGAGTGTGTGTTTTCTTACTGACCATAAGACATTCCTCTGCTCCCATATCGACTGGGAACTCGGCCCCTGCCCTGTTGGCCCAGTAGGACGTGCCTCTCGGGATGACATCCTGACATGTTACTTGTTGAGCACAGATCCTGGGCCCCCAGGATGCTCAGCAGCCTCCAGTGGACTGGGGGCTTCTGGGGCCTCTCACCTTGTCACTGTTGTGGGCTGCAGATGAGACTGGGTGTGCCCGGACCCTGGAAACCCCATTCTCACTGAAAGTACTCTGTGTTTAGGGACCTGGTACCACTTGCTCCCTCCGCCTTCATTCTGAGTTGTAAATAAGTGGTTTCTGAAATAAAATCTGTGCAGTTGTCCCTGCTGCCACCGCTGCCTGCGGCTGGTGTCGCAGGGCTGAGGCACTTGGTGGAACGCTGTAAACATCCGTGCCAGACTCCGGTAGAACACTCAGTAGTTGGGGGCCCCACTCCTGCCACCCCTGTATGTCCCAGCTCACTGGGGGGGTCACTCACTGCCCGCAGGGCCCCACACACCTGACTTAGGTCTAGGCAGCTAGGCAGACTGAATGAAGGCGCTCTTCTCTTGCCACTGTGCCTTGGTTTTTCAGTTGGTGAGCTGAGGGCAGTGGGGAGGTTTCTAGTGGGCTCTAGGAATCCCCTGGTGAGTGTCCTCTCTGCTCCTGTGACCATGGCAGGCGTCAGGGAACCCACCACCTGCAGGTCTGCTGACCCTGCCCCAGGCCGCTGGTCCTAGTGAGGACACTTTGCTCCCAGCCACAGCTGGTGCTCGCCGCCTTTTCTTCTCCGTCCATCCCACTGCAGGCCGTGAGGCACGGGGCCTGGCTCAGCCCAGCCGCTGTGGGGGAGCTTGCTGCCCAGGGTGTTCGAAGCTGTGACATGCACTGAGCTTTGCAGGGGTGTGCACAAGGAGGGGAGACATGGACCGGTTCGGGGTGGCTGACGGTTCAGAAGCTCACAGGGTGGTGCTGGTAACAGACACCAGCGGGCAGTGTAGGGACCAGAGGAGGCAGGGCACATACTCCATGCTCAGGACCTGGGGTGGGTCCTCACAGCATGAGAACTTGCTGGGACTCGGCGCCTGCTTGACTGTGGGGCTGAATATACAGCGCCCCCTAGACCCTGGGACTCGGGGTCAGCCTGACTGTGGTACTAAATACACAGCGCCCCCTAGACCCTGGGACTCGGCGTCAGCCTGACTGTGGTACTAAATACACAACGCCCCCTAGACCCTGGGCTGGCACTTGGCGTCTGCCTGACTGTTAAAAGGACCAGCGTGTAATCTTGGGCAAATGCACTAATGACTTCCTTCCCTTCCCTTCTCGTCCAGGCTCCCCATGGGCACCTCCCAATCTGTGATGAGGACTTACCACCCACCAGGGCAGTGGCCTCCCTAGGCAGGTATCCCAGGCCTTGGAGGCACCCTCAGGAGCCCAGAGTCTCCCTCAGTTTCTCTTCAACCTTGCTGTTTGCCCCCTGTGCAGAACTCCTGATAGGGCAGCTTAGTTCCTGCCTAAGAGCTGGGCTCTGGAGTCAAAGCTCGAAGCCAGTAGTTGATGTCTGACAGTTCTGAGACCCTAATCCCCTAAACCTCACTCTCCTTTACTGTGACCCGAAGTTAAAAATTGTACCCAGCCCCTAGGCCCAGACTTGTCAGGTGCTGGCGAGTCGGTTCTGACTCTTGGCAACCCAGTGTCCAACGGCGGGAACCACTGCCTGGTCTGGGCCAGCCTCCCAGTTGGTACGTCGGAGCCCGTTGCTGGCAGCCAGTGTCATTAAAGAATCTACAGCCGTCAGATCTTGATCTTTAGTGGAACTCACCGTATCACCAAAGTCATGGCCTTCAAATTCTGAAAACTTCTGAGACGTCACCAAACACCTCGAGGGAAGGAGTTGCTGGGCCTGGAGGCTCATGGGGGACACCTTGATCAGTTGGCACAGCAGAGTCCTCAGAGCCTGTGTTCTACACCCTACGTTGGTGACTAACAACTGGGGTCTTTAAAGTTCATGAACAGCCATCTAAGGGGCAACTGTTGGGCGCTCCCTGTCCGGAGGAGTGAAGAGTGATGAAGATTGAAGACACATGGAAGCGTCCAATGGGCTAATGGGCCACAAGAACATCAGTCTCCACAACCCTGAGACCGGAAGAGCTATACAATACCAACTGTACTGAAAGGGATCGCATTTAGAAGGTCCTAGATGCAGTCCTGGTGTGGTGCTGCAGGTTAATGCACTGCGCGACTGCAAAGCTGTTTGAACTGCAAGATAGACAGTTCAAGTTCACCGGCTGCTCCTTAGAAACCCTATACAGAAACAACAAGAAACAGTGGGAGAAAATGGGGAACAAAACTCAAAATCATAAAAAAGATCCGGCTTACTGGTCAGAGAGACCAGTGGGAAATGAGACCATGGTCTTGGAGCACCCTTCAGGTGTGGGACTGAACTCACTCCGGTGGCTCAGCTTTCAGCCCGAGGTGAGTATAGAGAGAGGGGGGACACCACCCTCAGTGAGGTACATATACACCGTAGACTCGTCAGCCATTTGAGATGGGAAAAGGCAGCATTTCCCCAAGGGCAGAGTTAAGGGTTTGGGGGTAGAAGAAGGAACAAAAACAACAAACAAAGAAGGAATGGGATAAGTGAAATCACACCGAGAGAATTGTCATCGATGACATGAAACTGTGTGTGATTTGTGAACGTAAAACTGATGATCTCTGTAAACGCACCCAATTTACTATAACGTAAAAAGCATTGCCCAGCTTAGCCCTTCACATGTTGGCTTTCCATAGTGGGCACTCTTCATGAATGGAAACTGGGTGAATGAAAGGCCATTTAAAAATAGGATTTCCCACCCTGGTTATAGGAAATTTCAATACAGAAAAGCACAAAGGACATCCAACTGTTGTTAATTCCACCACCCAGAGAAGGGCGAGCAACCCTTTTCATTTTCTTCTGATGGTTTGACAGAAGAGTAGGTGGGGTCTGTGGAAGTTCAAGGATCTTGTTCCAGAAGTCACGATCCGAAGAGAGCCGAGTCCAGGCCTGTGTGACTCTGCTTTGTCCTCTCCAGTAGCTGAGTCTGTGCCCATCCTTGGAATATGTGGCAAAATACTCGAAGGCTTCGTGGATGAAGAGAATTGTGGAGGACTGGAATTTGGTTCATTGATCAAGCAGATACTGATGGCCCTTTGAAAGGAATCTTACAGCCTGGTCCTGATCAGCTTCTTAGAGGGACACTTCTCTGGAGGGGTCTCTTCACTCATAGCATCCGAATGTTTGAGCCAAGACCACCTCAAAAACTTTCAAAAGTAAAAAGCAATAAACAGGGATGCGTGGTAATACTATTTTCATGGATTGGCCCCACATGCCAATAGTGGAAATCTGAACTCTGACTGCAGATAAAAAGCAAGCAAGCGTGTATTCCTACTCAAGTGATTAAAAACTCAACTGTGGTAGTAAGTGACCAACAGCAATCGTACTTACCACTGGTCAGCATGTCTCTTTTCTACACTTGCTCCTATGTGTCTGCTGCTGCTGCTGAGCAATAGGAAACTAGTGACTTGGAAGGTGACACAATCAGCCTGAAGTGGGTCCCTGATGTGAGGACGGGGTCAGCCCTCACCATCCTTCGCCATCCTTGTCACCAGCAGGCCCCATGGCACTATCTCTGATGCCAGCTGCCACCAAGGGGAGTCCACGTAAGACCCTAGCTTTCCAGTTGATCTGCTGGTTCTCACTGCCCATTTGGATTCCGTGGTATGTAGAATTCATGAAGAATCATCCGTACTTAGAACTATATTTGTACCAAAAGGTACAAATGAAGGTGAGGTCTGGGAGGTTCCCAGCATGGAGCGTCCATGTCCTATGGGGACACGTCCTCCTCTCGAGCTCTTGATGACCCAGAGCTCCCACAGCCATCGTTTTGGGGCTTTGATCCACCTTTCCTGTTGATGGACTAAATGCTGCCTCTCGAGGCAGGTGGATGGTGGCCTCCAGGGTGTGTCTATCTTGGTCTAGGAGCCCCCATCCACCAGCACAAATCCTTGGTTGTAGACCAAGGTGCCTCAGCTGCTCCAAGGTGGTTTCTCCAGCACCAAGGACAAAGGTCACCTGACTTCCAGTAGAGCTGGGCCCTTTACTCCACAGATTCATCAACTTTGTAAAAACAAATGTCTAGTTTCATACAACTTTTCACTCATTTTATTCAGTGCCTACATTTTTCAAGTCTTACACTTTTCCAGGAGATAAAAGGCCAACCTGAGACCTGCTTTTAATTTGTATTTATTTACTGCATCTGAGTTTTAGGGTCTTCCCCTCTTGTGCTGGGAGCAGGCCCTAGAGGTAACCCCTGTGGGGAATGGACACCCCACTTAGACTGTAAGCCTGTCTCCCTGTCATGTTTCTCCAGGTTCTGTTATTGGGAGGTCCTTCTTGTTCTACCTACAACGAATTTTGAACCACACAAGATCACCAGCGCCTTACACGTAATAGGCATTCAAATGGTAGTTTTGGAAAATGAAGATTGGTATTCTATTCATGCATGGGTCAGGGGCCAGGCATTGTGCTGGCTATTGGGGAGTGTTGGCCTTTGCCTTCTAGGGCGTTGTCCACTTGGGGGTACAGATGACCACAGACACAGCAGTGACTCAAGGGCTAGGATGGGATTACATACAAATTTCTGTGGGCACACCAGGGTACTTAAGGAAGACGGTGGATAGAGAAAACTTTAGGGTCTGTGGGATTCTTCCTCAGAAGTAACCCAGCCTAGGAAGTCGTGTTTGTGAGGATGGCCACTTCATGAATAAGTACTGGACCCACATGGTCGGCGGTTCAAACTCACCAGCCACTCGTTGGAAACCCCATTCGGGTGTCCACAGCACTTAGTAACAAGCAGACTTTATGGAAATAGTCCCGCGGCTTCTGTACCGGCAAGTCAGCGCTGACTCATGCCAACCCTACACAGGGTTTCCAAGGAGTGACTGGTGGATTTCAACTGATGACCTTACGGCTGGAAGTCCAGTGCTTATCCTACAGTGTCACACCAGATCCCTGGTGTTAGGTAAAACAGGGAAAGAAGGGGGTCTCAAGTCATCTCGGTATGGTGTGTTTCATCGGCACACAAGCCAATCTTAGCAGTGAGAAATTCTAATAAGCACATCTGTGCTTACTAATCCTTTCATTTCCCTAAGTCTCTTGTCTGACTTCTTTTGCACGGGGTAAGTGTCACACCTTTGCAATTGTTTGAGAGGGCAGAAGTCCCGTTCCGGGGACGACGCTTCAGCTGTGACACTTGTAGCGTAGTGGGTTACGAGGTGGGCTGCTAACTGTAGTCAGCAGTTTGAATCTACCAGTTGCTCTGAGGGAGAAAGATGAGGCCTTCTGCTCTGTAAAGACTGGCAGCCTCGGAAACCTTATACAGGGTCGCTGAGTTGGAAGTGACTTGGTGGCACACGACCCAGAGGAGTCCAGGACAGACAGCAATGGAATGGAAACTCCTTGGAAGTGTCCCACCCACAAAAGTCCAGTGGGCACCTTGGCATTTCGTCTATAGCACAGAGAAAACAGCTCAGCTCAGCTACCAGTGATCTGCTGGCCTTGAACAGGCTAAAGGACAAAATTGTGAAGGATAAGAATGGAAGCCGGAAGTGCAAATTTCCCCTCACCCATGGTCATGCTGGACTCGGTTCATGTGGAGCAAGACTATACCAACCACAGCCTCTACCCAGGGACCAGTCTCAGGGTTGACTGAGTCTAGGCCTGGGGGGTGCTTTTAATCCGAATTCTGCACATCTCAAAATTCAGCCTAAGATTAAGAGGAAATGAAACCAAGCCTCCAGCTGCAACAGCCAAGAAAACTCACTGATTCTGGATTGTTAAAAGAACTTGTGACAATACAAGAAATCCTAGACGTTTGACTATTCCATAGAGGATCCCCTAGCCCTGGGACACTTGACTCAAGCCATGGTAGCTTCTTATATGTGTGAAAACGGGAAGACCGTAGATGCATCAATACATTTGTCTTACGATGCTGGAGAAGAATACTGAAAGAAACATGCACAAGCTGCCAGAAGAACAAACAGATCTGTGTTGGAGGAAGTGCAGCCAGAATGCTCCTTACAAGCCAAGATGGCCACTTAGTCGCTCATACTTCAGAACTATTATCAGGAGGGATCAGTCCCTCAAGAAGGACATCATGCTGGGTAAAGTAGAAGGTCAAGGCAAAAGAAGGAGACTTCACAAGAGATGGGTTGGCAGCATCCAAGGGCTCAAGCGTAACGACAGTTGTGACATGGCGTAGGACTGGGCAATGTTTTGTTCTGTTGTACAAGGGCCGCTGTGAGTCCGAGTTGACCCCACGTTGTCTAACAACGCCCCTTGACTCAACTTTCAGAAGCCACGCGATAGGCCTATAAATTGAACAATAACCAGGGAGGTTCACACATCATAGAACAAGCCTCCACAGGAGATGAAAAGGGAGAAAGCTCAGAAGGCAGGAAGCGGTATGAAGGCAGCACAGGGAGGGTGGGGGAGGGGTGCTGTTACACTGCGGGTTACAATGGTGTCACAAAATGTCTACTGCACGCTGCAAACTGTCACCCAGACCGCAAGGAAAAAGAAAAACCAAATATCTCCTGGAGTGACACACTATCTTGGTGGGGAAAAGTCTCCTAGACAGCAGTAGGCTCTGTCCCTGCACCTGGAAAACACACCATCCCATCAGCACTCTGCTCTCACTGGAAATTGAATTTCACTTTGGTGTACTCACCGGTGTATTTATTTTAGAGGGTCCATCAAGCCGTTTAAGGACTCCTAATGTGTCCCTAAGGAGCTCTGGTAGCATAGTGGTAACAAATCAGGCTGTGATCCTCAGGGTCAGCAGTTTGAAACTACCAGCTGCTCCGCGGGAGAAAGATGAGGCTTTCTACTCCTGTAAAGATTTACAGCCTCAGAAACCCTGTACAGGGTTGCTATGGGTCGGAACCGACTCGACGGCACTTAACAACAACAACGTGTCTCTATGGGCTAATGCATTGGACTGTAAGGATGTTTTCAACCACGAGGTCTGCGGTTCAAGCTCACCAGTTGCTCTTTGAGCTGGGACTCACTTGATGGCACTTAACAACCACCACCCAGCCATTTATGCGTCTGTTGTAGAACCCAGGGTGTGTGGTCATGGAAAAGGTAAGCCGGAGGTCCTGTAACCACTTGTTCCACTCAAAACTTGACCCCTGAATGTTTACGGGACCCCACAAGGGACAGCTAGCTGCATGCATACCAGTGTAATTTTGAGACAATGACTCAGGACGACACAATTCAACAAGCTCAAAGCGAATTTAGTAGCTTATTACACAAGGTTTTTTTGTTTTATTTTAAAATTGCACCCACCCATTGGTTGAACTTTTACTCCCCTCTCCTATGGGAAGAGCAGCAGTATTCTTTAGCACAGCTCCGATATAAAAAGTGCTTGGCATCATTCTATGAGCCCTCTGGAACACCCTTGTTGTTTGTGGACCCATACAAAACTGTTCAGCCGATTCTGAGGTCAGCACGAATTTGGAAGCGAGGAATGATTATACAAACACAAGATACGATACTGTTCCAGCTCAAATTCCATGTTTTTCAGAGGCTGACTACAAATACAGACTCGATCAGCGCAGCATGGAAAAGCTCACGAGGGAAGAAACGTCTTGGCTTCCCTAATCTTCTGCTTCACTCCTCTTCGCGACAACGCGAGCCCCGCGTGGTGCCGCTTCATGGTCTCCAGGCGCTGGTTGAGAAGCGCCGTCCTCTCCACCTTCTCCTCCATGTCCTGCAGCAGCGCCTCCTTACCCAGAAGCCCACACTTCTGATTCAGTCTGATGTTGTCAAGCCGCAGGCTGTCGCGGGCTTGCTTGGTCTTGGTTAGGATGTCTCTCTTCCTGGCCACCTGTGCCTCCAGTTCCAGAAGCTTTGACTTCTTGCGCATGTTCTCCATCTCCACGAAGTGCAGCTTCTCCTTGACGTGCGTGACAACCTGCACGTTGTTGGTGACCTTGTTGCGAAGCTTCAGAAGCTCCTCGTTTCGCTCTTCCACTTTCTCGTTGAAGGTCTGGTTCTCGATCTTCAGCTGCTCGAAATCGATGAGGAGCAGGCCCTGGGTCAGGTCCTCCTGGGCCCTCATCCTGGTCTCAAAGTGCACCAGGCTCTGCTTCAGCTGCACGTTCTCCAGCCGCACGGCGCTCATCTCTTTCTCCTTCTTGTTCTCCAGGGTCTGGATCTGCTCCACCTCGCGCAAGGCCGCCTGGCGCCCACCCCGCAGCCGACAACTGCCCATGGCCTGCAACATCACCTGTCTCTTGAGTGTCTGGAAGGCATGCCACTCCTTGTCCACCTTGGCCAGCTTCTCCTGGCACTGCTGTTGGAGCTGAGCCAGCTCCTGATGGTACCAGTCCAGGTCGTCGGCTTGCAGCTTCTTCAGCTCCTCCAGCTTGGCCAGGTAGCGCAGGTAGACCTGCTCCTTCTCCGGGGCCTCGGGCTCAGCCTTGGCGGCCACGTCGACCACCTCCGGGCCCTTCTTGGTGCGCAGCGCCTCCTGGATCTTGTGCTGCAGGAACAAGTTGTATCGCTGGTAGTGGCCGCGCTCCATGACCAGCGTGCGGTATTGCTCCAGGAGCTCGGTGCGCAGCTGTTGTTCCTGTAGCTTCCTCACTTCCTCCGGCCACTCCTCCAACTCTGTGGTCGCCTCATCGTCAGTACTGCCCTGGCTGCTCTCCTCCCAGTGCACATCCTCGGACTCCCGAGAGGCCTCCTCCGCACCGGCTCCCAGTGCGCGCCGGGGCGCGGACGCAGTGTCGGCTGCCTCCTCGGAGTCCGCCTCGGTGCTCGGCCCGGCCGACTGCTCGGGTTCGGGTTCGGGCTCGGGCTCGGGCTCGGGCTCGGGTGCGGGCGCAGGCGACACAGGCTCCGGCAAAGGTGCGTTCTCAGCTTCGGGCTCCACGGATGTCCCCGGGTCAGGCACCGCCTCGGCCACGGCCCCGCCATCCGCGGGCTCCTCTCCAGATTCTGGCTCGGTCGCGACGGCGCCCCCATCCGCATTTTCCGCTCTCTCGGGCGCAGGGGGCTCGGCCGGCGTCTGTGGGTCCGTACTGGGTCTCGACGACTGCGGGCTAGGGCTCTGCGGTCCGCTGGAGTCCTCCATCGCCTACCCGCAGCCAGCGGCTTGGTTTCCAAGAGCAACCGCCGGCGCGGGAGAAGACCGGCGATTGGCCAAGAGTCGGTCCGATTCCTCGCCCACTATTCCCCCTCGACCAATGGAAGGCCGCTAGAGAATGACGTCCGGCCGATTGGAGAAGAGTGCCGGTTGCTCTGCGAGGGGCGTGGCGCGTCAAGCTCTCCACAGCCACGCCGGGTCGCCATCCGGGCCTGGGCGGTGCGGGAGGTGCGCAGGCGCGGCGGGGGGTTGGGGCACGCGGGCGCCTGCGCACTGCGGCGCGGCGGCGGCAGCGGCCTATGGCGCCTGCGCGCTGAGTGACGGCTGGGCGCGGCGGCGGCGGTTGCGCGGCTGTGGGGGGCGCGGCGGCAGCGGCGGCGGCCCGTTGGCGGCAGCGCGCCCCGCGGGAAGATGGCGGAGCTCGGTAAGAAGTATTGCGTGTACTGCCTGGCGGAGGTGAGCCCGCTGCGCTTTCGCTGCACCGAGTGTCAGGACATCGAGCTGTGCCCCGAGTGCTTCTCGGCCGGTGCCGAGATCGGCCACCACCGGCGCTACCACGGCTACCAGCTGGTGGACGGCGGTCGCTTCACGCTCTGGGGGCCCGAGGCCGAGGGCGGCTGGACCAGCCGCGAGGAACAGCTATTGCTGGACGCCATCGAGCAGTTCGGCTTCGGGAACTGGGTAAGTGCGTGTCGGGACTGGGGACCCAGACCCCGGGATTGGGACCCCGACCCGGGATAGGGACCTCATCCTCGGGAATAGGGACCCCCGACCCCGGGATTGGGACCCCGATCTCAGGACGGAGACCTTGACTGTGAGGTAGGGACCTCGACCCCAATGGTACCTGACCCCAGGATGGGCACCCAGACCCTGGGACTAGAAACCCCGACCCCAGCCTGGAGATGTTGCCCCTGGACTGAAGACTTGGACTATGAAGATGGGGGTCTCAAGTCCAGGATAGGGACCCTGGTCCTAGGAATGTGAGCATGACCCCAGGCTGAACCCCTTACTCCCCAGCTCGGGCACTGCAGGGCACGGGGGCGCCCACTCTTGGTGCCGGGATCTGCAGGTCCCAGAGCCAGGAGCCTGCTGGGGTTACTGTGCCTGAACGGGAGCGGACCCCTGGAACCGTCTGGCACCCCGCTCTGGGGTCCCCACATGGTGCTGGCGCGCATCTGAACCGTTAGAGGTTCACGCACACTCAGACGTGCCGTGGAAGAAACGCAGGTGATTTCCTGTGGAACACTCAGCCACTGAAAAGCACAGCAGTTCTCCCGACACTTGGGGTCGCTCTGAGGTGGTGTCCACTCGCTTTGTCGCCTGTGTGGGTGAAGGCCTTGGAGGATGGAGTGGATCCCGTTACCTGAGTGCCAGTTCCTATTAGACCACCGGCCTGGCGTCCTCACCTGTGTGCTTTAGGGCCACCCTGGTCCCCTGACCCACATCGCCACCACCTCTCTCGTTCCTCAGGCGACACCTCACAGCTGTGCTCAGTCCTCGCTCTGGCATGCCCCACACCTGACCAGTTCCACAGTCTCGTGACCATTTCTCGAGCCTCTGAGCTGACTCTCTCGCCACAGTTGGGGCTGATTGCAGCCAGAAAGCAGAATGGACACGGGTGGAATAGGGGCAGCTCATGCCTTCCGGACGTCTGCGCAGCACTGGTCACTTGGGGAGCCCGGGCGAGGCCTGAGGTGCCACTCTCCAGCTGAGTGCCCCTCAGGGCTGTTGTGCATGTGTCTGCTTGGGTGTGCGTCCCTTCTGTGACCTGTTGATTCTCAACATGCACTTCCCCCGTCTCTGAGCGTGGTCGTCACTGTTTCCAGTGTCCAGTGTAGGACGGGGATGCATTTGAGCCAGTCCTCTAGTCTGAAGCAGTCCAGTGGCCACCTTGGTGTGGAGGCTTGGTGTCCAGTTGTCTCCCTTCTATCTGGACCGTCTATGGTACCCCATCAGAGCAGCCATTAGGTGGGCACTGTGTGGTTCAGACCTCAGGCAGCTGGGGCGGTGGCTCATGCTGGCTATTTGCCCTGTAGGCTTGTGTCTTCCTGGTTTCTCTAGATGAGTAGAGGCCCATCGTGTGTGCCCTTTGATTTTAACCCCTTTGTGGGCTGCTGGGCTGGGGCTGAACAGCCAGTTGTGGCGGAAGGGTTGCCTGCGGCTGAGGTGGAAGGCAGCTGGGAGCAGCTGGCCACAGAGAGGAGCCCTGTCCATGGGGACACCCTCCCAGCAGGGTGACCGTGAGGATTGCTTTGAACTGTCCTTCCTGTCCCTTGTCAGGTGCTGGGACCCTGTACGCGTTCGGAGTACTCAGCGGCCAAGCGCGTCCTAATTTGGGGTGGTGGTGGGCTGTGGTGTCGGTCCCAACTCGCAGTGGCCCTGTACAGGGTTTCCGAGGCTGTGAAGCCTCATCTTTCTACCTGGAACGGCTGGTGGATTCGAACTGGTGACCTTGCAGTTAAGCAGCCCAACTCCTCACCCACTGTACTAGCAGGACTCCTGGGTTGCTGCTGCTTCTCTGGAGAGGCAGAGTCTGGACCCTGGGTCAGTTTGCTGAGCCGGTGACCTGGGAGAAGGGGAGGAGCGTCCTTTATTTTTGACAAATGACTTACTGGGAACAGTATTCTCGTGTCTCTCGGGTCCAGAGCAGGCCTTGATTTTTTTCTTTATAAGAGCTGGCATAAGATCTGCCCCTCTGTGGAATCGATTCCGACCCATAGCGACCCTCTACAGGGTTTCCGAGGCTGTAAATCTTCACGGGAGCAGAAAGCCTCATCTTTCTCCCGCGGAGCAGCTGGTAGTCTCCAACTGCTGGCCTTGCAGTTCACAGCCCAATTCGTAACCACTACGCTACCAGAGCTCCTGTGGGAGAGGCTTGTTTTTGGTTCTCAGTCATTCTCAAGCTCTGTGTTTCTCTCCAATCTCATTCCCCCCAAGCCGCTGCTCTTGCTTCTGCCTGTCCACCATCCACTCTCTCTTCACCTCACTGTCCATGGTCTGTCCATTGTCCATCTACCTGGATTAAGGAAAGGCTTCAGCTAGCCTTGCCCACTGCTGTGCTGATGCCATGGTGACACCCATGGGGTGACAGACTGTTTTCTCACCTGCGGGAGGCAGGCAAGTCCCAGTGTGTCCCTCTCTGGGCTTAGACTGTCCCATCGTGGCCCCGCCCCCGGCCTTTGTCAGGGGTGATTCTGGTCAACTGATCTGCTGGACCTCCGCACGCTGGTGGCTAAATGTTGATGACATCAGGGTGGGCAGGCTCCAGCCCACAGAGCGCACCAGGACCAGTAGTCAGCCTGCAGAGTGGTCAGTAGTGTGACGCTGAGCCCGTAGCCTCACTGCCACAGAGCCCCCGTGCGCTTGTCTTTTCACCTGCCGCTCTGGTGGGCGCCTTCTCCTCACTCCTGCATGTGGGAATGTTAGCACCCATTGGCAGGATTCTGAGGCTGTAGTTCAACTGGACTTTAAAAACGCTTTATTTTGAAATCATTTTAGATTTTACCAAAAACACTGCCAAGACTGAGCATAGAGGTTCTGGAGCTTCCTTGCTGACCGTCTCTGGCATTCTATCTCTGTCTGTCTGTCTGTCAGTGTTTGCACATCGGCTTCGGGCACCTTGTTGTCTACAGCCGCCTGCCCTTGTGGTCCCCTCCACGGGTTGTGAGAGGTCACGCTGAGGTGTCCCTGCCGGCTGTCTGCTGGAACATTGCCTCACTCGGGACACTTGAACATGCAGCTGGGTCTTGGGGCCAGTGTGCCGCTTACTCTAGTGTGGGAGTTTTCTTACTCTAGCGTGGGAGTTTTCTTACT